TCTCAAAAAAAAAAAAAAAAAAATCCTATGACAGGGTCATATATTTCTACTGGAGGGAGGTGCAATGCTTTGCCACTGTTTACTTAAATCTGTTTCTGATGCCACCTATTCTTTCTGAGGACCAACTGCCCTGTTGGCAGTGCCTTTGGTCTTGTACACTAGCTTGACATAACACTCAAAATTCTAGCTCGATGCTTGAGGAATGCCTTTTCCTTGGAATATATTCTTATAAAGAATTATCATTATTTTTATTTATTTATTTTTTGGAGACAGAGTCTTGCTCTGTTGCCCAGGCTAGAGTCTAGTGATGCGATCTCAGCTCACTGCAACCTCCACTTCCCAGGTTCAAGCGATTCTCCGCCTGAGCCTTCTGAGTAACTGGGACTACAGGTGCGTGCCACCATGCCTGGCTAATTTTTGTATTTTTAGTAGAGACAGGGTTTCACCACGTTGGCCTGGCTGGTCTTGAACTCAAGTGATTCAGCTAACTCGGCTTCCCAAAGTGCTGGGATTACAGGTGTGAGCCACTATGCCAGGGCCAGAATTATCATTATTCTATAGGAAGAATACTTTTGATGATCCAGTAACTCACGTTTTGATTTTCTTTCTTCCTCTTAGTAAGTGGCAGTACTGTGGAGTGGGGAACAGATGGGAGGATGAGCAGCTTGGAGGGACACTCTTGCAAAAACCCAGGCAAGAGACAATAAAGACCTCTGTCATAGGGATGGTGAGGACAGGAACTAGAGGCATTTAGAAATGAGAACCAGTAGGACAAGGGAACCAGCTGAAGGTGGAGCACAGAAAGAAAAAATCTGAAGTCAAGGATACAACTTTTTGCTTGTTTGAACAAAGCTTGGGAATAAGGGAAGAAGAGCAGATTAAAGGATTCAAGTAGGGACAAGAGCTTCCACTCATGAGTTTATTTTGTACATGCTGAGTTTGAAGTACCTGTGGAATGACCAGGTAGGAAATACTTGCAAGCAGCTCAGGAGTGAGATGAAAGCTTGAGGTCTGGAAGTGGATTACAGCGAAGGGCAGAGAGAGCAAATGGGATGAGCAACAAGCTAGGAGACTGTGGGAGGACAAATAGAGCACTATGGAAGCTGGGTAAGACAATTTCAAGGAAAAGGTAGTCATCAGTGAGATCAAGTTGGAAGAGGCCTGAAAAGAGGCCACTAATATAGGTGGTTATAATTCCTTTTTTTTTTTTGGAGACCGGGTCACAGCTTACTGCAGCCTTAACCTCCTGGGCTCAAGGGATCCTCCCACCTCAGCCTCTCCGGTAGCTGGGAATACAAGCGTGTGCCACCACACTCAGCTAATTTTTTTTTTTTTTTTGGTTTGTGTTTGAGGCGGAGTCTTGCTCTGTCACCCAGGCTGCAGTGCTGTGGCACAACCTTAGCTGACTACAACCTCCACCTCCCGGGTTCAAGTGATTCTTCTGCCTCAGCCTCCCAAGTAACTGGGATCACAGACATGAGCCACCATGCCCAGCTAATTTTTATCTTTTTAGTAGAGAAGAGGTTTCACCATGTTGGCCAGGCTGGTCTCGAGCTCCTGACCTCAGGCGATCCACCCTCCTTAGCCTCCCAAAGTGCTGGGATTACAGGCGTGAGTCACTGCACCTGGCCGGCTATTTTTTAAATTTACTATAGAGATGCAGTCTTGCCATGTTATCCAGGCTGGTCTCAAACTCCACGGTTCAAGCATTCCTCTTGCCTCGGCCTCCAAAAGCGCAGTGATTACAGACATGAGCCACAGCACCCGGGCCTGTATTTCATAACTTTTAAAAGGTAAGGAAAGAGACAGAAAGGCTGCTAGCATCAGCAATGAGGAGGGTGCTGGTACATTTATAGGAGCATTGTTTGCTGCTGCCTGAAATGGCTCTAAAGGGACACAATCTTTCATTCTGCAATAAGAAACAAAACGCTTAAAATTAAAGTGCCTCCTTAAGTTAAAACAACAAAGTCATTTTCTCAAAAATGTAATGAATCACAACATTTTAGAGCTGGAAAGGTGCTTGCTGGTCACCTCACCCATCTTCCTCATTTTATGGTTGAGGAAACTCAGGAATAGAGCATTTGAGTGATTTTTACAGGGAAGAACCAGACCAGTCTGCAGCCACTACGGAGTCCAGGCCAAGAAGCATATGGTGCCCCTACAGAGGGACCCACGGGGCTTTCACTAATAAAGATGGAGGTGCGTGTCTAGAACGCCGAACACACTACATCTGAGAGCAGTGGCTTTATTTACAAGGATATTCAAACAGGATTTAGCAAAGGCTATCTCTTCCTGCTTGTTATCTTAGCAGCATGGGTTGTACTTCATGAACAGAAAAGAGAACTGTCCTGGGAGTAGGAAGTGAACTCTCTTCTTAGATATGTTCTCTAAATCCCAACGTGTTCCATGCTCCCCCCGCGGGGTAGTTGGTGGACACTTGGTTATAGCCTCCATCCCACTGAGGAATGTGTCCAGGGAAGATGTCCACACTGGCCGGGAAAAACATCAGGCTTTCACCTCACTCATGGCCTCCATCAGGCGAGCACTGTTTGTGACTGCTGTCGTCAGGAAAATGAACCTGTAGCCTAAGGAGGCAAATGCAGCAGCAAAAGAGACAGCGCAGATCTTATGCCCCCGTGGTAATCATGCAGCCCCTCCAGTTCCACAGTCCCCATGGGATCAGAGCACCAGTTTATAGACAGAGACATGAGTGCCATACTCCTGGGCACCACTACTTTCTATGCCTCAGATAACTGGCTCCCTACGACAGCAGCCCACAGTAAGGCTATGGCAAGCTGTACCCCAAGGCCAGGAGAAAAATATTCCTGTGCAGGACAGTGAGTGAGTGTGTGTGTGTGTATGTGTGTGTGTGTGTGTGTGTGTGTTGAGAGAGAGAGTGTGCCTGTGTGTGTTGGGTGTGTGTGTGTGTTCAGAGTGTGTGTGTGTGTGTTCAGAGTGTGTGCGTGTTGAGATGGAGTCTCGCTCTGTTGCCCATGCTGGAGTGCAGTGTCACGATCTCAGCTCACTACAACCTCCGCCTCCCAGGCTCAAGCAATTCTGCCTCAGCCTCCCGAGTAGCTGGGATTACAGGCACCCACCACCAAACCTGGCTAATTTTTGTATTTTTAGTAGAGACGGGGTTTCATCATGTTGGTCAAGCTGGTCTCAAAATCCAGACCTCAGGTGATCCACCTGCCTCGGCCTCCCAAAGTGCTGAAATTACAGGCGTGAGCCACCGTACCCAGCCGACGCTTTGTTGGCCAGATACAATGCAGGCCAATTCTCATCTTTGTGCTCTCTCTTACCTTTCTCTCTGCCCAGGAACCGGAGGGCTGAGATCTCAGAGAATGTGCAACCGCCCAAGAACACCACCAAGATGAGGCGCAGGGACTCACTGGAAGCCTTGTCTTCCTTGGTCATGTCTGTGAGGATCAGACCAGATTCAGCTCTTCCCTGACACGCTAGTCCTGAGTGGTGCCTCCAGCCCACCCCTCACTGCCAGCCTACCCCACTGTCGATGCCACATACCTGTGAATGCAAAGTCACCACAGTTGAGCAGCCTTACCACCTCATCAAGGCCCTGCCAGCTTCGCCGCTCTAGCACCTGGGAAGGCATAAGCACTGTTTCAAGGCTACAGACAGTGTCAGGCTTAGGAAAGGAAGGGTACAGCAGCCAGACTGTCACGTTTCTTGCTCATTACTCAAGTGGCAAAAAGTTGAGACAGGGCCGGGTGCAGTGGCTCACGCCTGTAATCCCAACATTTTAGGTGATCAAGGTGGGGGGATCACCTGAGGTCAGGAGTTTGAGACCGGCCTGGCCAACATAGAATCGGCCCAATCTATATGAAACCCCATCTCTACTAAAAATACAAACATTAGCTGAGTGTACTGTAGGCCCAGCTACCTGGGAAGCTGAGGCAGGAGAATCACTTGAATCGGGGAGGCGGAGGTTGCAGTGAGCTGAGATCGTGCCACTGCACTCCAGCCTGGGCAACAGAGCAAGACTCCATCTCTCAAAGAAAAAACAAAGTTGAGACAGGCCAGGGGCCAAGAGAAATCAAAGAGAGTGAAATACAAATGGAAGCAAGAGTAACATGCTCTCACCTGCTCAATGATTCGGCAGCTCAGGGGCACGTAAGCACCACTGAAGACGTAAGCCATGTCTCGGGGCACTTTCAGATCATACTCGCCGTCCACGCGTGGGATCTGTAAGACAAAGGGAATTCATCAGGCAAATAACAGCTCAGCTCCCTAACCGTTTACAGGGTCAGAGAAAGTGGCAAAGCCCAAAGAACAGTTCTTACTTCAACTAAAGGGAGAAGTAGCAATAGCCCTGGAAAGAGGATCCGTAGCCAAAGATGGCAGTCTCTGTTCAGCAACTGCCAGTTCTCTGGAATGAGTTCCCATGTGCCATTACTGAATAATATGAAGGGCTGGAGGGGAGGCTTCTCCTTTCCCTGCCCTCAAGTGACATGGGATATGGCTGTCACTGAAGCAGCACTTATTCTCTGGCACTGGCAGGTGCTTGTTACATGTGGATTAGATGAATGAATCTACAATGTTATAAGACTACCCAGCAAAAGAATTCTTACACACATGAAATGACAAAAAGGTTTTTGTGGATTCAAAGTACTCCACAGTGGGCCAGGCTCGGTGGCTCACACCTGTAATCCCAGCACTTTGGGAGGCTGAGGTGGGCGGATCACCTGAGGTTATAAGTTCAAGAACAGCCTGGCCAACATGGTGAAACCCCATCTCTACTAAAAATATAAAAATTAGCCAGGCATGGTGGCACATGCCTGTAGCTACTCAGGAGACTGAGGCAGGAGAAGCATTTGAACCCAGGAGGCAGAGGTTGCAGTGAGCTGAGATTATGCCACTGCACTCCAGCCTGGGCAACAGAGCAAGACTGCATTGCCCCCCAAAAAAGTACTCCAGAATGGAATGAACCCACCATCTCCCCTAACCATCCCTGTTCCACATACCAAATTCAGCTTTTTGCTGATGGCACGAAAATTGCTCCTCTTGGCCAGAGAACTGAAGGCATCAGTAATTTTTCCTGGGGAAGAAATCTGTGTCAGGTTTCACCGAAGGTCTATGCGTTCATGACACTGCCACAGGCAACACCGTTCAGGACATGACAGCACCAGTCACATCCAAAGACTCTCGGAACCTGTTCACGTACCATTCCCTGGAACTAATCAAGATACTCCCCACCCACAGCCTTCCCCCTCCTACAGGGTACCAGCTCTCTACGAAATGCAATCCACAGGGTGACCCGAGTTTACTGCTATGTGCTTTGGAGTTAAACCAACCTAACTTATTTATTTTTTTTTTTTTTTTGAGACAGAGTTTCGCTCTTGTTACCCAGGCTGGAGTGCAATGGCGCGATCTCGGCTCACCGCAACCTCCGCCTCCTGGGTTCAGGCAATTCTCCTGCCTCAGCCTCCCAAGTAGCTGGGACTACAGGCACGCGCCACCATGCCCAGCTAATTTTTTGTATTTTTAGTAGAGACGGGGTTTCACCATGTTGACCAGGATGGTCTCGATCTCTTGACCTTGTGATCCACCCGCCTCGGCCTCCCAAAGTGCTGGGATTACAGGCTTGAGCCACTGCGCCCGGCCCCCAACCTAACTTATTAAGGCACCTGGGACAAATCACTTCATTCTCTAAGCCTCAGTTTCATCATCCATAAAATGAGGATGAGAAAATCTACCTCACAGAGTCTTTGTGAGGATTAAATCAGAAACTAAAGGGCTGAGAGCATGGCAAGTGTTCACTATGTGGAAACCGCTCCTACTAGCAGTAGTGGTAGTAATCGTCATGACATTAATAGGAAGGAATCAATCCGGCTTCTCCAGTTCATTCCGTCCCTCCCCGTGTGCTGCCTGTTGAAAGAAGTCAGGACCACAGCTGGAGCAGAGGCCACCTGTGCTCCCTGCTTACCTGCAGCCTTGTCGGTCACCAGCTTGCTCACTTTACTCTCCACGGCTGTAAGGGTGTCCCCGGGGCCCTGCTCTGTTAAGAGCCCAGCTCGTCGCAGATTGGAGAAGGTTAGCATGTGCTCAGGGCCATAGCTCTGAAGAAGATGCAATTAGACTATTTACTGCGTTTCCAAAAAGCATCTAAGCACTGTCAGCCTCTACAGAGGTGAGCGAGAGAAGGACTGTGCAGCCTCTGCTCACATTTTGTTGAGATACATTTTCACATCAGAAATAACCAAACAGGGGCTGGGCTCAGTGGCTCACGCCTCTAACTAATCCCAGGGCTTTAGGAGGCCAAGGCAGGCAGATCACTTGAGGTCAGGAGTTTGAGACCAGCCTGATGAACATGGTGAAACCCCATCTCTACTAAAAATACAAAAATTAGCCTGAGATGGTGGCTCAGGCCTGTAGTCTCAGCTCCTCAGGAGGCTGAGGCAGAGAATTGCTTGAACCTGGGAAGCAAAGGCTGCAGTGAGCTGAGATCGCACCATTGCACTCCAGGCGGGGTGACAGAGTGAGACATCACCTCAAAAAAAAAAAAAAAAAGAAAGAATTACACCAAACAAAAATGGATAAAAAGCAGCATGAGCCATGTGTGGTGGCTCACACCTGTAATCCCAACACTCTGGGAGGCCGAGGTGGATGGATCATGAGGTCAGGAGTTTGAGACCAGCCTGACCAACATGATGAAACCCCATCTCTACTAAAAATACAAAAATTAGCTGGGCATGGTAGTGTGCGCCTGTAATCCCAGCTACTCTAGAGGCTGAGGCAGGAGAATCGCCTGAACCAGAGAGGCAGAAGTTGCAGTGAGCCAAGATCACACCACTGCACTCCAGCCTGGGCGACAGGGCGAGACTGTCTCAAAAAAAACCAAAAAGACCTATGGATGTATGGGGAAGGCTTCCCAGAAGAAGTAAGACTTGAACCAGGAAGGAAAGCAGAATCAATGCCTCACACAGTGCTAAAATGAGGGAGACAACCATCAGTAAGAACTCACCACTGGGGCCAGCACTGAAATGTTGAATTCTCAGCACTGGCCATGTGCCATGAGTGTATGGGGTGAAACAAGAGTAAAGGGCAGAGAGGCGTGCTCAAAGGTGACGCTCCCTAGTAGCTCTAGGAGGGAGGCCAGAATGGAAACAGGAAGGTAATCGAGGCAGGAAAGGGGCCACTTCTTTTGCCTCTTTCAAAAATGCCCAATAACTACCCTCCACCAAGTTCCCTCAACAATACATTCTCCAGGCCTTACCTGCAGATACTGTGTTTTCAGAGACCGGTAATCCTTGGGGATCAAACCTAAGAGTGAAGAAAATAAGACAGGTGCATGAGCAAGAGGCCAGCAGAGGCACCCTAAAATGTACAGATAAACCAGCATCCAATGCCTTCTTCAGGAGGGACTCAGTTAACCCTGTAGAGTATACAGTTGGTTCTAAATTTAAGCTTGCTTATTGAAAGATAAAGCCTGGGTCTGGGAGTTCCCAAGAAGAGTTGTGAAACATGAGTGTGCTGAGGAGGGGACACCAGAACTAAAGGTGATCATAGGGGGGTGGGGGCGGATTCAGCGCGGGAAGGAGAAGTGACGACTCATGCATTTCTTTCTGGCTAAGGGGCAGTTCTACTAGGAACTGCTTCACAACTACTGAGAAACAGGAAAAGTGTTCAAATGACTCCCAAAAGCATGGTCTTAAATGTTTTTCTCCATAGAGGTAAGAATAACTGAGATTCTAGGCCGGGTACGGTGGCTCATGCCTGTAATCTCAGCACTTTGGGGGGCCAAGTTGGGTGAATCACCTGAGGTCAGGGGTTCAAGACCAGCCTGGTCAACATGGTGAAACCCCGTCTCTACAAATACAAAATTAGCCGAGCGTGGTGGCGCATGCCTGTAGTCCCAGCTATTTGGGAAGCTGAGGCAGGAGAATCACTTGAACCTGGGAGGCGGACGTTGCAGTGAGCTGAGATCATGCTATTGTACTCCAGCCTGGGCAACCAAAGCGAAACTCCACTAAAAAAACAAAAGAGAGAATAACTGGGATTCTAACTATAGTAAATGAGATTTAGAATAAGTAGAATACTTCTCTGGGTAGAAAGCAACATTCGACTGGGCACAGTGGCTGATGCCTGTAATCCCAGAACTTAGGGAGGCTGAGGCAGGTGGATCACCTGAGGTCGAGTTCTAGACCAGCCTGGCGAACATAACAAAACCTCGTTGCTATTAAAAATACAAAAATTAGCTGGGTGTGATGGCCTACACCTGCAATCCCAGCTACTCGGAGACTAACAGGAGAATCGCTTGAACCCGGGAGGCAGAGGTTGCAGTGAGCTGAGATGACATCATTGCACTCCAGCCTGAGCAACAGAGCGAGACTCTGTCCCCACCCCCCAAAAAAAGGTAAAAGAAAAAGAAGGGGCAACCTTCAAGAATATTCACCAACTGGAAGACTTCAACAGTAAAATGAAGTTGCCACGAAGGTTGCAGAATCTGAGATTTTAGAAATGTTCATGACAACCAGCTGGGCACAGTGGCTCACGCCTGTAGTCCCAGCTACTCAGTAGGCTGAGGCAAGAGAATCGCTTGAACCAGGGAGGCGGAGGTTGTGGTGAGCCGAGATCGTGCCACTGCATTCCAACTTGGGTGATGGAGTGAGACTCCATCTCAAAAAAATAAATAAATAAAATAAATGTTCATGAAATTAACTTGCTATCCCTTTTTCCTGGAATGTATCTTTATCTTATTGAAAATAAAGACAGACGGAGTGTGAGAGAAGTCCCACTCAGCTCTGCACCCCTGCAGTCCTAAGATGTGGCTGGGTTCTAGGGTGGCCTGGATGTGGTCCCACTTAGGGCAAAAACAATACATTCCCCTGTGGCCTGGTGATGATTCACCCCAAACAAAAAAGAATCCACCAAATTACAGGGAAACATTCTGTTTGCTAAGACGTGTGCCTTAGCCTTTCAAAATCACTTCTTCCGTCCCTAAGGCATAGTTTCTCAGTCTGACATTCTCATCCGTAGGCTCTTGGGCTCACCATTCTCAGTGATAGACAAAAGGCACATGAGGCGCAGGCTTTCTATAGGCGACACCTGCACAGGAAGAAAGAATCAAGGAGAACTGAAGCTTCAGGACATGTGTCCTTCCCCTCTGCTGGAGGCTGACCTCACCATTCTCGGCTCCACCCAGCCCTCCACCTGCGCACCTGCTGGGTTCTATGTCTCCACCTCTAAACACCATTCTCGGCTCCCCGGGCCCTCCACCTGCGCACCTGCCGATCTATGTGCTCCTCAATGTAGCTGGTGCTCTCCCGGATGTTGAATCCCTCTAGCAGTGCTGTGAGTAATCAGAGGAGAGCCTGTTACTGGGGAACCAGCTCAGCTGCTGCCGTCTATGCTAACAGGTGTCTGTCTCCCCATCTCTTTCTCCATCCTTGGGGTGGATTAAGGGACCCCCAGGACTTCTAGCAAGAACCAGCATTCCACATAGCTTCCCAATGTCAGCTGGAAAGAGCCAGAGAACATCTTTTCAGGGTGGGAAGGGGCTGGGAGCAGGGCAGAAGTGTGGGCAGTAGCGCAGCAAGGCTGCTGCAGTTACCGTGCTCAGTCTTGATGAGCTCCTGGAAATCCTGCTTGGTTTTCTTCTTCATGATGGATTCACAGGCCCCAATATCTGCAGGTTGGACAAAAAGGGAGCTGATCTATTCCTGGTTCTAGAAAGATGCCTCTTTACTGTCCAGAAGAATAAAAACCTCTTGAGGTAAAATCCAAAAGCACTTCTTCCCACTTTACAGCAAATAAGACCATATGTGTCAGATGAACAGAGGTCTCCTCCTTGGAGGCCATGGTCCTCTGGAGCTTTTCCTGGGGGGACACAGTCACTTCCCCTCTGTCCCTCAAGCTGAAACCTACGGAGACTCAGCAGGCGGTGCTCTTGTTTCAGGCCCTTGAGCTCCTGGGACACGAAGTTCTTCATCTGCTTGATGTCCATGCCTCTCCGGCGCTGTGGGTAAATTCCCAAAGGTGAACCCCCAACCTCAGACACAAGAAAGCACCCCCCTCCCTCAGCTGCCATCCATCCATGAGAAAGGACGGGGAGCTTGTCATAGTATTAGAAAGGGAGTCTGTGGACAGCATCCTTGGGAAGGCACTGAGGCGAGAAAACAGAGGACCCGGGCTCCGAGCCTCACATCATACTGGGCCTGCAAGTTCCGGGCCTTCTGGCTCAAGAAGCCAAAGACATTGGAGAAGTGCTCGTTTCGAATCTCATGGAACACCTGTGAGGGGAAGCAGATGGGAGCAACACATTGTCAGAACAGAACTGAGCAGCAGAATGACAGTACAGGAAGCGTGCCGCGGTGTGCCGGGAATACAAAGAAATACAAAGAAGGCTGAGCTGGGACCCGTAAATCCATGTTGAGTCCACTCTGCTCTGGGGTGTGCTCTTAACTGGTGGGGAGACCCTCCCAGACTCAGCCTCCCCTCACAGAGCTGGGCCTGCAGCCTCATGTAAGCAGCAGCCCTCGGGGGGTCCACTGCTGGCACCCATACCCTCACCTTGTCCTCGGCATTGAGGAGCACCTTCAGGCTCTTGTCGGAGGATGTGACTTCTGGGCCAAAGTCGACACTCCCTTTGAGAACAGAGGGACAGCTCTTAGCATCTCCAGTGAGGACTTCCCCTACCCTTCCCTGAACTGCCATGAAGGTCCTCAAACTGTCTGGAAGCCAGCAGTTCATTCAGGGTCTGGGTCTCTCCCACAAGCCCTGTCCCATGTGGGCGGGTGCCAAGGCTGATGACCACATCCATCTTGCCAAGATGCAGAGGACAGTGGCACTCACCACACTTGATGCGGAAGGTGTCATCCACTAGGCCCTCGTAAACCACTTGGGAGCAAAGTGCCGTCACAAAGTCCACATCTGAAACAGAGATCCCTGAGCTCATACGAAGGTTCTCCCTGACCCAGCCCCCCACACACCGTGCTGGGATTTCAACTTTGCCACCACACTTGCCATATTCCAGCGTCTTCTAGGGCTGAAAGATGACAGGAGTGCTGGGCATCATTTACCTCTGTCCAAGAGAAAGATATGTCCAATCTCTGGCCTTCGGCCCTTGGTTTCACCATCCTCCTCCTCCTCCAGTTTCCTCCACAATTCATACGCCATCTGCCAGGGCCCAGAACATTCTGTCTTGTGTCCAGGTCTCTACTGCAGCCCCATACCTACAGAAGCCAACCCCTTCCACGTGATACTTCCTCTTATTCACCATGTGCCCCTGTTCTGCTCCCACCTGTGCCTATCCCTGCCCACCCCTTCATGCCAATGAGAAGGAGTGTTAGGAGTGTTACTCTGTCCCAAAAATAAAGAGATTTAGGAATGCTACCCAGGAGACCCTGGCTCTTGCCTCTGTTAGCCACACAAGTTCTCCTCTCTGAGGACCTATTCCAGAACAATGAAAGCAAAGTAAAGAATACACCTCATATCACAGACACCCTTGGATAACTCCAGGTGGGTCCGGAACAGAGGAAATAGGGTTTGCTGGGACACCAGTACCTTGAGGGCTCTCACCTTGGCACATCTGCCAATTCCATAGCAGTTTGGAAAGGGTCCATAGAGAGCGCTGAGAAGGTGCAAGGCCTGAGCCACAGTGTTGATCCAACGCTGATCTCCTTCCTGCAGGGACCACACAAGCCACAAACATATGAATCAACCCCACAGGACCATCTGGAAAATAGCTAGCCCTGGAAGCCTGGGACAGGATGGCAGGGTCTGGGAGAGGCTTGAAAGGCTCATTTTCATTGGCCCCTGGACAGGCAGGCAGGGTCTGTGGGAGGCCTGAAAGGTTCATTTTCATTGGCTCCACAGGAAGTCCCACAAAGACCAATCTGTAGCACTCAATCACTACATCACGATCGCTTGTGATAAATTATTTCAGTTGGACAAAGATTACACTGGTATTTCTAGTCCTCTGGATCCCACATTTGTCCCTGTCCCCTGATGCCAAGACCCAAGGGCCCTGTATTTACCAGAAAGTAATCCCTGAAAAATTCTGGTAGTTCCATGCTCAGCAGATCCACATCAAGAGGCAGTAGAGAGAAGGCCCATTCGTCGCAGCTCACATCTGTGGGGATAGAAAGCATCAGCCTCCCTGCAGAAGGTACTTAGCTCCACGTTAAGAGGGAAGGCCCGCCACAATCATGCAGCAAGTATTTGAGCGCCTGCCACACACCAGTACTGCACTAAGCAATGGAGCCTCAAAGAAGACACAGCCCCTGCCCTTAAGGAGCTCAAGGTCTGATAAGGAAAGGAGACACGTCTACAGCAGCCTGTAATACAATGTGGTAAGTGGTGGGTTTTTACTAGAGGGCTGACCAAAAGTGCCGAGAAAGCATTCATTCACTCTCTATTTATTTATTTATTTGAGATGGAGTTTAGCTCTTGTCACCCAGGCCGGAGTGCAATGGCGGGATCTTAGCTCACTACAACCTCTGCCTCCCGGGTTCAGGTGATTCCTGCCTCAGCCTCCTGAGTAGGTGGAATTACAGGCATGTGCCACCACACCCAGCTAATTATTGTATTTTTATCAGAGATGGGGGTTTTGCCATGTCAGCCAGGCTGGTCTCAAACTCCTGACCTCTCGTGATCTGCCCGCCTCAGCCTCCCTAAGTGCTGGGATTACAGGTGTGAGCCACTACACCTGCTCACTCATTCATTCTTTAGCAAGTATTTACTCAAAGCTGCCTACATGTAGGACGACGTTGAACACCAGAGATAACAGCAGTGAGCAAAATGGACAGACTCCCAACCTTCTGGAGCTTACAGTCTAGTGGGGGAGACACACCAGACAAAGTACGACACAAACTGTGAAATCATGGTTTTGCTTCAAAGAGGTCAAGCCGCAAACTGTGAGCACAAATATTAAAAGGATGTAACCACAACTGGGGGTGTAGGAAAGACTTCTCTCAAGATGAGAAAATTAAGCTTAGAATATGGGTAAGAGGCCGGGCGCGGTGGCTCATGTCTGTAACCTCAGCACTTTGGGAGGCCGAGGCAGGCGGATCACCTGAGGTCAGGAGTTCGAGACCAGCCTGGCCAACGTGGTGAAACCCAATCTCTACTAAAAATACAAAAATTAGCAGGGTGTGGTGGTGCACACCTGTAATCCCAGCTACTCAGGAAGCTGAGACAGGAGAAATGCTTGGGAGGTGGAGGTTGCAGTGAGCTGAGATCAAGCCACTGCACTCCAGCCTGGGTGACAGAGCAAGACCCTACCTCAAAAAAAAAAAAAAAAAAAAAAAAAAAAAAAAGAATTTGGGTAAGACTTGGAAAGGCAAAAAGGTGTAGGCTGGAGAACATTCTCGGCAGCTGGAAAAGCATGGGTAATGTCCCTGTTGCTGCAGGGTGGTGAGTCAGGAGAAGGAAGCAGCACAGGATGAGGCTAGTGGGACAGGAGGGGCCAGACTGTGCAAGGGACAGGAGGCATGCTGGGAGCGCTGGGCTTTCTACTGAGCCGCTGCCGGATTTCCAGCAGGGAGTGCTGTGATGAGGTTTGGGCTGTGTGAGGAAGCGTGTGAGGAATACACAGAGCGGAGGCCCAGTTTTTCTTGTGAGAGCCTTGGAAGGTGCGAAAAGAGTGGTTGGTCGTTTCCAACTCTCAGCCCTGGTGTTCCTTTCACACGACCTCAATAGTGTTCTTTTTTTCCTTTTTTTTTTTTTTGAAACTGAGTCTTGCTCTTGTCACCGAGGCTGGAGTGCAATGGCAACTGCAACTCCGCCTCCTGGGTTCAGGCAATTCTCCTGCCTCACTCAGCCTCCCAAGTAGCTAGAATGTGCCACCATGCCCAGCTAACTATTGTATTTTTAGTAAAGATGGGGTTTCATCTCTACATTCATCAGCTACATTCATGTGGCTGGGTACAGTGGCTCACTCCTCTAATCCCAGGCTGGTCTTGAACTCCTGATCTCAGGTGATCCACCCCCTTGGCCTCCCAAAGTGCTGGGATTACAGGCATGAACCACCATGCCTGGACTTTTTTTTTTTTTTTTTGAGACTTAGTCTTGCTCTTGTTGACCAGGCAGTAATGCAATGGTTCGATCTCAGCTCACTGTAACCTCCCTCTCCCGGGTTCAAGTGATTCTCCTGCCTCAGCCTTCTGAGTAGATGGAATTAGAATTACAGGCATGTGTCACCACACCCAGCTAATTACTGTATTTTTAGTAGAGATGGGGTTTCACCATGTTGCTCAGGCTGGTCTCAAACTCTTGACCTCAGGTGATCTGCCCCCTCGGCCTCCCAAAGTGCTGGGATTACAGGCGTGAGCCACTGTGCCCGGCCCCCAGTAGTCTTCTAATCTGTAGTCCTGTTCCCATTCCCATTCTTAGGAACCTCTCCTCCTGCTAGACTAACAGGAATAAGACTAGGAAAAGAAGGAGCTGGGGTGGAGAATAACAATTATTTTTTCTTCTGTATGTTCTCTCTCCCTTCCCACTCACATTCATCTCCTCTCACCTCCATAGATGCCCTCTTCCTCAAGCACCATCTCACATGCATAAAACTGAAAGAGAAAAGGAAACTGATTAGTAACTACCTTCTTCCCTGTTCTCTCCACTTCTCGGGATTCCTCCGTGGTCACTGATGAAGACAATAATTACCGAACCCAGTGAAAGACAAGAGAACCCAGACTCTTAGACCTGGAAAGGACCATCAGAATGATTCAGCCCAGCACTTCATTTCTTTCTCATCCATTTAATTTATGTTTCAGTAAATTGCTTCTTATCTCCCTGAGAGAATGGAAGAGCTTTACAAAGGAGGAGCTCAGCTGTCTTCAAAAGTGAGTTGGACAGGCAGTGATGAGAGGAATAGCATGAAGTGCTCTGGAAATGGTGGAGAAGCAGGTGGGAGGGAAAGAGCTGTGCAAGGGAGACTGAATTCTGTTTAGGACATGCCCACGGGACCTCGGGAGACACAGACACAGACTTGGGGTTCAGTAGCATATAAGTGGTGTTTAAAGTGGATGATGTGCCTGGGTGCAGTGGTTCATTCCTGTAATCCCAGAACTTTGAGAGGCTGAGGCAGGTGAATCACTTGAGCCCAGAACTAGAACAGTCTGGGCAACAGAGTGAGACCCCACCTCTACAAAGCAATGCAAAAATTAGCCGGGCATGGTGGTGTGTGCCTGTAGTCCCAGCTACTCAGGAGGCTGAGGTGGGAGGATCACTTGAGTCTAGGGGGTCGAGGCTGCAGTGAGCTGAGACTGGGCCCCTGCATTCCAGCCTGGGCCACAGAGTGAGACCCTGTCTCAAATAAATAAATAATAAAGTGGATGGTCTGTCCAAGAGAAAAGAACACACAGAGGAGAGCGAATGACAGGACTCTGGGGAACACCAAGATGAAAGGGGGCCAGAGTACAAGGCAGGGCGGAGAAGACTGAGAAAGAATACCCAGAGACGCAGGGGCAGCAGCAAACAGCAACAGTCAAGGCAGGGAAGGTCAGAGGTGCAAGGAAGACCAGGCAACAGTGTCAAACGCCAGGGTAGTTAGTAGGATTCATCAAATAGACACCACTGGATTTGACAACAGAGGCCTGAGGGAGGCTAGATGAAACGAAGAAGGTGGAGATGAGGAAGCAGAAGCAGCGGCAGTAGAACGTTCTTTACAGAAGCCTGACCATGAAAGAAGGGGGAGTCCTGACGGGAGAAGAGATGAAATGGGAGACACCGTTCAGAAGGGATGGATGTGTGTGAAGGCAGAAGAGAAAGGCTACCTGGTAAAGCAAGATAATGGAGAAGGCAGGCAGAAGGGGGGCCAGGAACTGGCATGGAACGGCCCATCTTAGAAAAGGCCATGATCTCTTCCTCCTTTGAGAGAAGTGGCGAAAGAGTGAATATTTGAAAGTAATGAGAAAGACTGCTGAGGGCACTCACATTTGATAATGAGATGACGTTATGAACAGCTAATGTTTTAAGCCCTTAAAATGGACTAGGCATGGTTCTTAGCGTTTTACAAGAATCACTTGTCTTCATCTTCATACTGGCTCTATGAGATGTAACCAATGCTACCTGCTCCTTATTTTATAGTTACACAGAAGAATCCTATTCATCTCTCACTCATTTCTGCCAGGAAAACTAAAATCTACACGTCTGCTTTTAGCTTTTAATGCTAAGTAATGGAATTCCACAGCCAGGTCTAAAAATTGCCAGTCTTCATAATTATCAAAGGGAGTCTCAAGGAAGAGATAGAGATGCCTCCTAATACAAAATTAGGTCAAAAAATTTGATTAGATAAGGTTGTTAAGTGGAGAACACTCATAAAAATACAAATTTTGTTTTTGTGTAATGTAGAGGCTAATAGGGTTATTTTAACTTGTAGGATTATTCCCTGTTAATACAAATCTGTCCTTGGCCAGTCACAGTGCTCATAACTGTAATCCTAGCACTTTGGGAGGCAGAAGTGGGCAGATTGCCTGAGATCAGGAGTTCAAGACCAGCCTGAGCAATCTGGCAAAACCAACCTCTATTAAAAATACAGAAAATTAGGCCGGGCACAGTGGCTCATGCCAGTGGCTCAGGCCTAGCCCTTTGGGAGGCTGAGGCAGGCGGATCACGAGGTCAGGAGATTGAGACCATCCTGACCAACATGGTGAAACCCTGTCTCTACTAAAATACAAAAAATTAGCCAGATGTTGTGGTGCGTGCCTGTAGTCCCAGCTACTGGGAGGCTGAGGCCGGGGAATCGCTTGAACCCAGGCAGTAGAGGTTGCAGTGAGCCGAGATTGCGCCACTGCACTCCAGCTGGGTGACAGAGCAAGGCTCCTTCTCAAAAAAAACAAAAACAAAAAATCAGGCCAGGTATGGTGGCTCAACCCTTAAGCCTGGCACTTTGGGAGGCAGAGGCAGACGGATCACAAGGTCAGGAGATTGAGACCATCCTAGCTAACAAGGGGAAATCCTGTCTCCACTAAAAATACAAAAAATTACCTGTGCGTGGTGGCACGCGCCTGTAGTCCCAGCTCCTCGGAAGGCTGAGGCAAAAGAATCCCTTGAACCCAGGAGGCAGAGGTTGCAGTGAGCTAAGACTGTGCCACTGCACTCTAGCCTGGGCAAGAGAGTGAGACACCGTCTCAAACAAACAAACAAAAATTAGCCAGGCATGGTGGCGCACACCTGTAGTTCCAGCTACTCGGGAGGCTGAGGCAGGAGAATTGCTTGAACCCAGGAGGTGGAGGTTGCAGTGAGCTGAGATCGCACCACTGCACTCCAGCCTGGGTGACAGAGCAAGACTGTCCTGCTCCACCCCCCAGAAAAATCTGTCCTTGAACGTATAGTTCGAAAAATAAAAAGGCTTCATCAAAGTCCGTAAACCAGAAATTATTGCCATGGCTCCTTTAATAACATTCAGAAGTATCTATAACTCCGAGTGGTTGTCCTACTCAATAATTTCTTGCCCTGGTAATAATACTTCACATGCTTGTATTCCTAAGCCGGATAAATATTTCTAAGATTGTGTTATCAATTCTCAAGTGACATTCAAAGGAAGGTCACTGGCTCTTTCCGCTTATTCCTTTTACAGAAGGAGAAAACAATACACGCCGAGGGTACCACTTGATTTCTTATTTCAACAGACACTCAAAGTCATCTCACTTAAATTAAGAGATAAGTACTATCATCAATTCTATCTTCCAGGTGAGAAAACTGGGACGCAGAACAGCTCAGTCCCTGAACCAAGACCACACAGGAAAAAGACCTCAAGAGCAGATTTTATCCAGACAGCCTGGCTTCAGAGGCTTCAGTCCTTAGTTACTGCTTCTATTTTCTCTAGAATTTTCTTAGAAAATTGAAAAGGAATAAATCCCTGTCCTTCCTACTCTAGTTTCTACCTTCTCTAAGTGTGCATGCACTGCGTGCTACAGCTTTACAGGCCTATGGCTGGTAAGGTAAAGGCCTGGAACATCATTCCTCCCATTGCTGGGATTGAGGATGCAGCTAGCTGATGTGGAGGTGAGAGAGGAGCTCAATGCAATCAAGAAAGGGAGGGACTATGATGGACCTCCACATCTGTACTGCAATTATTGAGGTAAAGAAGTCAGCGCTCAGGCCGGGCGCAGTGGCTCACGCCTGTAATCCAAGCACTTTGGAGGCCAAGGTGGGCGGACCACCTGAGGTCGGGAGTTCAAAACCAGCCTGACCAACATGGTGAAACCCTGTCTTAAAAAAAAAAAAGAAGTCAGCACTCTAGCCGGCCATGCTAACTCACTGTGTGAGCATGGGCGTCAGTTCCCTCAGCTGCTCAAAGTTGGGGTGGAGTAAAACAGTCTCTAAGGTTCCCTTTCTGTGCAAGAAAAAGCTTTTCCAATATAAGGTGGCATGGTTCTAGTAACCTGGGGCAGCCCAGCCACATCCCTATAAGCATGGGGAGTAGGGGGAGGGAGGGCGATGATTTGCCGTGTTGACTACGAAAGGGATACAGGGAGAAAATCACTGAAAAGCTGTAGCACTGCACCATCACTACCCTAGATCTGTGTTAGGGACACAAGGCAGGTTCTGCTTTGCAAGGGTGAAGCTTTTCATTTAGAGAAATCTATGCAGAGGCCTCCTCTAACGGGTCCTCAATACTTTATTTGGGACAGTAAGATGACAGGCCCTCTGCTAAACAAATGAGGATACGTTAATGAAAAGAGAGTGACAGGTATTTGGCTCAGTCATATATCATTTGCTTTAAGGGAGTGCTATGGTTTGAATGTGGCCCCCAAAAGTTCATGTGTTGGAAACTTAATCCCCAGTGCAGCAGTGCTGGGTCATGAGGGAGGCATTCTCATGAATGGATTCAGGTCCTTATGGCAGGAGTGGGGGGCTATAAGGCAAGGCCGGCCCTGAGCGCCTCTCAGTGTCATGTGCTGGCTTCTACCTCCCAGCCTTCCACCACGGGATGATGCTTGCCAGATGCAGCCCCATGCTCTCGGACTTCACTACCTCCCCAGACCATGAGCTGAAGAAATTTCTGTTCATTATAAATCACCCAGTCTCAGGTACTCTGTTACAGCCACAGAAAGTGAACGGAGACAGGGAGGTAGTGCTGTTGGCCCCTTACCCCTGCCTAGTCCTCAGCCCTGTTCTACCTTATCCCACTTCCTCTAGGACCCAAACCCACCTTCTGGGGGCTGAAGATCACTTTGTATTTGCGAGTTCGGCCAGCCACTTTGTCAGCATTGACAAGACCTACAGAGAGAAGGAATGCAGCCAAGCAAGCTGTGAGCCATCTGTTACACAGCAGCAGGGAGGCAGATACCCTCCACTGGTGCTCCCGCCAACCCAGAAGATTCTTTCCTTGTTAGAGGGTCCTTACGGCCAAGGCCCTTAGATCTTGCCCACCCTTTCCCACAATTACCCATAGTACCATGACACACTCACTGGCAATGTATCGCATATTCTTGATACGGGGTCTGACCAAGAAGCACAATCTATGAGAGAGAAAGAAAAAAAAAACAGTGAAGAAAAATACCATTGGATAGCAACTTAGAAGCAGCCAAAACAATACCAGCTCTTTGGCCATTTGCCTACAGATCTCACCCCCATCAAATCTATGCTGTTCTCTTGGTCCACCAGATGCCAACCACAGAAGACACCTCTCAACATAACAGGTATAATGTGATGAGCTGGTACTGACCCTATGGTGGACCCAGGAGTTCCTGTTCTCAAGTAACTTACAATCCAGTGGGCAAAGAAAGATGCATATATATGCAGTATATTAACAACCAAGTGTCAAAAACCAATACAGGATAGACCATAAAAACACACAATTATTATTCATCAGTTAAAAATCAAATAAGACCAGGTGAGGTGGCTCATGCCTATAATCCCAGCACTTTGGGAGGCTGAGGCAGGCGGATCACCTGAGATCAAGAGTTCAAGATCAGCCTGACCAACATGGAGAAACCCTGTTTCTACTAAAAATACAAAATTAGCTGGGCGTGGTGGGGCATGCCTATAATCCCTGCTACTTGGGAGGTTGAAGCAGGAGAATCACTTGAACCCGGGAGGTGGAGGTTGTGGTGGGCCAAGATCACGCCATTGCTTTCCAGCCTGGGCAAAGAGCAAAACTCCACCTAAAAAAAATAAAATAAAATAAAATACAGGCTCACATCTGTAATCCTAGCACTCTGGGAGGCCAAGGTGGGAAGATTGCTTGAGCTCAGGAGTCTGAAACCAGCTTGGGCAATAGAGTGAGACCTCATCTCTATTAAAAATAATAACAGGGCTGGGCGTGGTGGCTCACACCTGTAATCCAAGCACTTTGGAGGCCAAGGTGGGCAGATCACCTGAGGTCGGGAGTTCAAGACCAGCCTGACCAACATGGTGAAACCCCGTCTTTGTAATAAATAAAAAATTTAAAAAAACAATAATAACAGCAGGCTGGGCGTGGTTGCTCCCAGCACTTTGGGGGGTTGAGGCCGGTTGATCACCTGAGGTCAGGAGTTCAAGACAAGCCTGGCCAACATGGTGAAACCCTGTCTCTATTAAAAATACAAATATCAGCCAGGCATAGTGGCAGGTGCCTGTAATTCCAGCTACTCAGGAGGCTGAGGCAGGAGAATCACTTGAACCCAGGAGGTGAAGGCTGCAGTGAGCCAAGATCGTGCCATTATACTTCAGCCTGGGCAACAAGAGCAAAACTCCATCTCAAAAATAATAACAATAATAATGGTAAAATAAAATAAAATATACTATAGAGCCTGGTGAGGTGACTCATATCTATAATCCCAGCATTCTGGTAAGCCAAGGCGGGTGGATTACCTAAGGTCAAAAGTTCGAGACCAGCCTGGCCAATATTGCGAAGCCCCTTCTGTATACAAAAATTAGCCAGGTGTGGTGGCAGGCACCTGTAATCACAGCTAGTCAGGAGGCTGAGGCAGGAGAATCGCTTGAACCCAGGAGGCAAAGGTTGCAGTGAGCAGAGATCCCACCACTGTAGTCCAGCCTGGGTGACAGAGTCTCTGACTCAAAAAAATAAAATAAAACTGTAGGTGTACACAGTGGTGCCACACCTGTAATCCCAGTTGCTCAGGAGGCTGAAGTAGGAGGATCCTTTGAGCCGAGGAGCTTACTCCAGCCTGCACAACAGGGTGAGACCCTGTCTCTGAAAATAAATGAATTTAATTTTAAAAATTTAAAAATACTGGCCAGGTGCAGTGGCTCACGCCTGTAATCCCAGCATTTTAGGAGGCCAAGGCAGGTGG